TAATAATAATAATAATAATAATAATGATAACAATAATAATAATAATAATAATAGTAACAATAATAGTAAAAACAATAATAATACTAATAATAACAATAAGATGATGATGATGATAATGATGATGATGATGATGATGATGATGATGATGATGATGTATCATTAGTAGTAGTAGTAGTAGTAGTAGTAGTAGTAGTAGTAGTAGTAGTAGTAGTAGTAGTAGTAGTAGTAGTGTCATTATTATTGTTATTATTATTATTATTATTATTATTATTATTATTATTATTAATATTATTATAGTAGCAGTAGTAGTAGTAGTAGTAGTAGTAGTAGTAGTAGTAGTAGTAGTAGTAGTAGTAGTAGTAGTAGTAGTAGTAGTAGTAGTAGTAGTAGTAGTAGTAGTAGTAGTAGTAGTAGTAGTAGTAGTAGTAGTAGTAGTAGTAGTAGTAGTACCGATTATATTACGCCATACGTGTATTTAAATAAGGAAAAGCAATAGAAAACTCAAAGTAAGTCCCTAGTAATGTACTCACAATCAACTGTTATTTCCTGCCTTACACGTATTCTATATGGCCACCACCAGCAGCACGGGCAACATCACTGTCACCAGAGAATCAATCCCAGACGGGGTTCAGCATTTCACGGTCCACAGTGTAGATCGCTGTTATTATTCGATGTTTAAGGTAATCAAGGTTAGTATGTGGCGTTAGAACACGTAAATGTGATCTTTTACAGATCCCCACAAGAAAAAAAATACGTGCGGTGAGGTCTGGGGATCGAACAGGCTAAGCACAGAGAGTAAGGAGTTGGTTTAGTAAGTGGTTTTTTTACGCGCTCGCAACTGCATTAGGTCATATGAGCGCGCGGGACACACCTAATATTTTCAGTTGGTAGGAAATTTTCAATTTTGCCCAGGTGGCGGCCGAAGCCTGCTCTGATCGATTTTAGACTACCAAGGGATCTTTAACGTGCGCAACTTGCACACGGGCCCTCCGAGATTTTTCGCCCTTGTCCGAGAAGGCTAGGTGTAGATCTTTCCTACCAGAAGATCGGGGAAGTGGCAGAAAGACAGCAGTTAGGATGCGCCAAGGAGTAGTAGTAGAAAGGCTGCAGAAAAAGTCAGGAGCCCAGAGGAGGGGGCAAAGGAGGTGAGGGGGTGGGGGCAAAAAGTGGAAACGAAAGCAGACAACAGAACATTGCTAGAGAGCAGGAAAGGAGGTGAAAGGAGACTATTTTAGAGAAGAAAATTTTTCGGTCGCTACCCGGATTCGAATCCGGGACCTTTTGAATGAGAGGCCAACACCTTAACCTCTAGGCCACGAGAGCCCCCGTTAGGAGTTGGGGTCCCTTTCCGACCAATCCATATAGCTGGGGCACTTTTTCATGTAATAAAGTTCCAACCACCAGATGTCAGGTGGGTGGTGCTCCGTTTTGTTGAAAAAAGAAGTTATGCTTATCTGCTAGCAATGATGTAACGATTCAGTTTTGAAGCTTGTCGAAATAGGTTTGTCCTGTTACGATATTTCCTCCAATGGAAAAACAACGCCTGAACAGCAACCTATGCTCCACATGACAGCTATTAAAAGTTAGATAACTCCTCTTTCAAATGCTCACTGATTCAATTAATAATGATGCTCGAGAACTGAAGCAATGCGTCATAAAATCGGTTTATTCTCTTTTAAACACCCGGTATAATGATGATAATAATAATAATAATAATAATAATAATAATAATAATAATAATAATAATAATAATAATAATAATAATAACAATAATATCAAAGGACAATACGCAACACTTTCGAAGAGAACTTTCTTAGATCCCTACAGACATACTACTCTATCTATCTATCTATCTATCTATCTATCTATCTATCTATCTATCTATCTATCTATCTATCTATCTATCTATCTATCTATCTATCTATCTACATATCTATCTATCTATCTATCTATCTATCTATCTATCTATCTATCTATCTATCTATCTATCTATCTATCTATCTATCTATCTATCTATCTATCTACATATCTATCTATCTATCTATCTATCTATCTATCTATCTATCTATCTATCTATCTATCTATCTATCTATCTATCTATCTATCTATCTATCTATTTCATCTCCCAGATCTGATGTAAGCTTTACACAAGCACGCCCACGTCATACCTGTCCCCCTTTGCGCTTGTTACTGTGGGTAGCTCAGAAGTCCGCTTTTTGTTCCGTCTGGATTGAAAAGCTCTCGATTTGGGACAGAGTCTTATATTCTCACAGAGGGTTTAATATCCATATCTCCATACCCAAAGCCATAAAGCAGTTGTGAAAGGGGAGAGTTTGTGTTAAAATGTCAAGGGTTACCTTTGAAACTTTGATTAGTCATGGAGTAGTTGTCCATCAGTCAGAGATTTAAAGGTGATTTAAAATGCTGTTCTCGGCCTCCTTGTCAAACACTGCCGAAGTAAAACTATTACACACCAGCAGCTGGCAAGTTATTTAACAAAAAACATATGTTATCACAGCAGGCATGGAAAGACGCAATTTATGAGTGAATGCTTTCAAACACGTCTAGGTGAAAATGCAATTTTTTATGTAGAATCTAATGGTGTAGGCAATAGCAGGATAACAGATGAAACTGACTGTATATGTTTTCACCCCAAGCCCGACCGTTGCACTCAGTCCGGCGGTTACTTTGTACAAAGGTGGGGAGAAAAAATTATTTCTTTAAAAAATGGATTCCCTGATAGACACATTGAAATCCATGTTTTGTCCATTTTGGGACAGACAGAGACAGAGAGACAGAGAGACAGACAGACAGACAGACAGACAGTGTGACAGAGAGACAGAGAGACAGCCAGCCGGCCAAACAACCAGCCAGCCAGCCAGCCAGCCGGGGGAGAGGGGGAGGGGGATTGACTTAGCCAAAGAGCTGACTTCCCCCTCCGTATTTGCGAGAGATTTTTTTTTTTAAGACCCACCCCCCCCCCCCCCCCCCGACATGTATTATTTATTTTTAAAAACACACAAGAGAGAAGATGAGGCACAGTTCATGCAGGTTAACCTGCTCCTGATAATGAGTGAACATTATATTATTCTGTCGAGAACCTAACCTAATGAAAACAAATTTGCTTGGGGTTTTGGTTTGGATCATCTTGTCCCAGCTAAGAGACAGATAAAAACCAAGGCGCTGTAAAGTAGGGGTGGGCACGAGACGAGCCGAATACTCGTTTCTTGCGAGAAACGGCCTTCCTGTCGCTTCCCGGGCACTAAACTACTGCTCGGTACCGAGACGTGATACTGCTCGTTGGCTTGACATAACGAGTAACAGTAACGAGAGTGAGAGAGTGAGAGGCGAGAAATGACAACGCAGACAGTGCCACCCATCACCGTCCCGTCCTGTGTGTGAAACTGAAAGGGAGGGGAGAGGGTGGCGAGACGAGGCGAGTGGGGAGTTGATCAGGGCCTAGGCCTCGGTCTCCCTACCTTGCTTCGCCGCCTGCGCCTGCGCAACAGCCTAGTTTCTAAGTTTAGATCCCCGCCACGATCGGTCTTCTCGCAAAACGAGTGGCTCGAACTGCGGGGCGAAAAGAGAAATTGGTCACGAGACGAGAAGTATTGCTCGAGACACGAGACGGGAAGTATTTCTCGTTCCCGGGACCGGGACCGGTCTCGGCGGGAAGTAGGTCAGTCTTTCAGAGAGTTACTGTTGCGACGAGGAGGGAGGAGGAGGTGGGAGGAGGAGGTCGAGAAAGAGGAGTTATTTTTCTCTTTCAATGTTTGGAGGCTCCGTAAGTTCACTTTTATAGGTTGTTTTTTTCTTATACTAACCTACTTTTTGATAGATTGTTTCTGGGGTTCGTAAGCGTTATGGTTTTATTTTTATGTTGCGTGTTACTGCGTCTGGGTTGTAATGGTTGAGTTTTTCGTTTTGTAAACAAAAGCAGTGAGTTCGATTCGTTTGAGGGAAATATTATTTTATCGAGTATTTCCTTCTTTTTATTATGATATAATTCTATGACACCTGAGTTGGTCTAAACAGGTAGGACTGAAGCGGCACGCCTCTGAAATGATATGAATTGTTGCGATGGAATCTAAAAATACATATGTGAGGCAGCGTGGTGGAATCAGGCTCTCGTCAATTTTTGGGCACAATGAGTTATGACCATCATCTTAAAGCTTGTTCATTTGTCTTTCTTTCAATGAAAGCATAATACCCATCCATCTTCAATAGAAGTGGAGATATTTTGTATTGTAG